TGCTTAAGACAGTTTCACCTCTCAAGTTGTGTGGTCAGAGAAATAAGGAATAATTACTAAAGAATATACATAGCGTAGGTTAGGCCAGGAAAAAAAATTCTGTTTCTCGTTTCATGGAAATTTAAAATGAAGCGATTTTTTTTTTTTTTTTTTTTGAATACCAAGCTAAAATGGGGGAAATTTGAGACAAGTGCGAGTACAAGTGCATTTTGCAATGGTTTAGAAGGAAAAAAACATCTGATGTGCATAGTTCAAAATCATACGCGCAGAAACAAGAAACAGATACTTTTTTTCTCAGCCATAGTGGTTGTATTCAATATGGTACTACAGATGTTTAAACAAGATTTCATCACAGTGTTGTTTTTCCTATTTTGCCCATAATCTTGGTCTGCCTATCCAACCTACTCCTTGATTTAACCTTTTTACCTCAACTTCCCGCTTTTCATCACCAATTCACAAAATAGTCTTGTTTATAGTCTGTACTTTTCCTTCAGACGATTGGAACAAAAATAGCCAATTGTTTTGAATAAAAACTGAAAATTAACTCAAATTTGACTGTTTGCTCCAAAATTAGGGTTTATTTGAAGAATATAAGAAGAAATTACAGAAAAATTTGGACAAGAAAGTCTGGTGTTGAAAAGATTAAACAATATGAAGCACGGTGTTATGATGATATTGAGTTGCTTCAGCTCACTAGTTTCATAGGAATATTTCCTGATATGTCAAAGCATAATTTCTAAATAGACACATAAAAAAAATAAAGTTTCCAGTCTAAGAATGTTTTATTGTGAAGACAACAATACTAAACTGTAAAATAAAAATAAGAAAGAAAGCAGTGCCGATGAATAAAATAAACAAAAAATATAGTACTATGATTACCTACATGTGCTACTATTTTCTACAAAAAACTCACATTACTGAATGCACCACAGAAATAAGGGCCAAAAAAAAAAAAAATTGTTTTGTTGCCCTCAGCGCCCGATCGAAAAAATATGAAATATCGGGCCGCGTTTTTTTTTCCCCATATACCTCGGCTATTTACGAATCTAACCAACCGACCCAAGTTTTCAATTTTTCGACTTGAGGGCAACATAAGTTGTTGTGCCCAGTGATATTATGGAAACATTACAAAGTCAGTTTTGTTATCTTACAAATACTATCTCACCAAATATCAGATGTACATTGTACTTACATGCCAATGATCTGAGAATTGTTCTAGTAAGTATTGTATAACAGGGGCTTCTCCGGGTAAACGGAATGCTTCTAAATACATCCTTAAAGCTTCATCAAGTCTTGTGTTCTCAAACCTAAATGATCTGAAATATACATCGATAATGTGGATTTACATTCAGATTCATAGATATAGCTACCAATACCGTATTTGTTTTACTAGTAGGCACATCAGATACAGGCACACAAATCTGTACTTCCCCGATCATAGGCCTCTCCCTGAGTAAAAGCACATCCTTCTATTTTTAGACTATTAACAAGTTGAGGGCATCCCCGATTATAAGTCCAGGGTGTTTTTACCAGGCGTCAACAACATTTAATGTGCATGTAAAAAATGTGTTTCACTGCAAAAAAATCATGATTGGTATGGTAGTATGTTTGTGCTTTTAAGATAAATCTTGCATTAATTTCAGAGTGTGTGGTGAACGTACGCAACATGGTTTGCACCCTTTCCATTCTGTTATTCACTAAGAATGAACGCCGATGTTGTAATGTTGAAATAATCCATATCTCTGGGAGGTAGCTTTCGAAACGCCAAAAATGTGAGCGTCAAGTCATGAAACCTGGTCATTGGACATCGTTTTTCCCGAATAATAGTGTCCATTGAGACTATCGTGAATGGGGTGTAAACTATTCTTCAACGTGACTTCTTGACAACCACGAAAGGTGTTTAAAAATACTTCCTTCAGGAAAATCACCAGTTTTTAGGTAAAAAAATCACTTTTTTGTCAAAATCAGTGCTTACAGATAGCATTTTAACATTGCAGTAATTCACTTCCGCATTGCGATAAAAAAAATTGCATCATCAAGAATCCAAAAGTACAACAGTACGACACAGAATTTTGATTGGTTAATAAAAGACTTGATCTGTTAGGGCAAAGATCCTTATTTCAGGTCAAATCGTGCTGAAAAACATCATGGCGTAAATTGCTTTGCATCAAGAGTTTGTTCACGATCGAAAACATCCAATAAAGATCCTACAAATGTTCTCCCACAGACTCCACCCATTTTTACACTGTAAATTCAGATGGTATGTAAATCATAGTGTAATAAAATGTGTGTATTTTTATGAACATGTTTGTTTCTTCATTGTAAAAGTTTTGTGGAAATCATTGACTTGTTTTGCATTTTTTTTCTTTTCTTTAATAAGACGTGATATTCTCCCTGAGTTGGGCATGGTGAAAGAAAGACGTAATTTGGATAGTTTTTCGTGAGTGGTAAGATGGATACAATGCTAAGCAAAAAAATAAATCATCTTTTCTGAGATGGTCCTCCAGTGAAAGCCCACCCCCTATTTTCCTTGATTTTATATGTTGAGGCTCCTGGGTTTATGATCAGGGAAGTACGGTAACTTACAATACTACTTACTTCACAAAGGCATCTAAAACTTTGGGATTTTTCTTGGAGCATATAAATTCAGCAATCATTTTCTTGTCAATCTTTGGATTCTCCCGAATGAACGTAGCAGCTTCCATCGGATCTAGCGGCGTCCGTAGTAGATTATGTTCTTGTAAGAAAGCTATTCCTTTTGAGGGCTTCTGGTTGAACTGTTCGGTGCCGGCCAATAATAGCTTCTTTCGTTGTTTGATTTGAATTAACTCCTCTGATGTTGGGATGTTAGATGCAAACTTAATACGCCGGTCTCGTCCTCTCTTGTTTTCACAATTACTGTTTTTACCTAGTTGATACAAAATAAAAGTACTAGTATTAACATCAAGGCTCAAATGGAAAATGGCATTTTGCCACAAAAATGAATTGTTGATACCTTCCAAATACTGATCAAGCCATGTAATCAAAGGAAAATTTTGTCCATGTATTCCCAAATTAACAAAGAAATTATAGAAAAAATGTCATTTCACTCATGATTTAATGATAACCTCCAAACACAGAAAGTTTAAAAAAGATTTTATCAATGGACATTCCCACAAAAACAGGCCAGCAAAACTTAGTACATCAGTCAAAGATAAGTTTTCTTTATCCTTTTCACCACCAGACTTGCCCACATTTTTATGCATTTTTTTAGATTATATACTTCAATATTTCTGGACATGAACCTTAATTTTGGATAAAATTTGAATAATTTGTCATTCACAAAATTTGGCTATATTTGACCTAATCTTCTGAAGGAAAGTGCAGACTATAAACACGACTATTTTGTGAATATGTGATGAAAAGAGAGAACTGGTGGTGAAAAGGTTAAACAAGTTGATACCAATAAAAATATTAAAGAGATCAGGGTAATCAAGTATGCACCATGACACCCCCCCCCCCCAATTCAATTGTAAATTCTCCCCGTTCAAATTCAGCACATTTGCTTTGTTATTTAATGAAAAAAAATTATCAAATATTGTTCTGGTGAAAAAAAACATTATGTTTAATAATCATAGAAGATGTTCGAATTCCTATTAGCCAGCAGATACAAAACACATCACCCATAGTAAGATAAGATTGATAGTATTCTCACCGATATCTTCTCTAGACTCTTGCCTTTGTATGGCAATATATTGAGCCATAGCATACCCAGATGTCGTTGGTGGTGGTGCCGTCATGTGCTGTGTGTCACACTCTGTACCTGAATCATCACCGTCACCGGATGCAGTAGTACCAGACCTTGGCTTATCTGATGATGATAATTACAACATTTACATGCCTGAGATTATGCAAAATATTATAAGATTATTATTGTTATCATAGTATAGAGAGTGTTCCCAAATCATTATTGCATCATTACCAAAACCTTACTATGAATATTTTTTCGGCTTTTTCCAGGATTATTCACAATTAAAAATTTAATTCACAATAGTCAGTGTGCTCCCGTAAGACCCCCCCCCCCCCATCACGCATAGTGAACTGTTTATTGCTACAAAATGTCCTGATTTAAAGACAATTGGTTTGCAGTATTATGAGGTTAATAACTGATATCACTTATTGGTACAGATGGTTTATAATCGTGACATCTTGGGCCAGTATTATCTGCTCACCTTGGGTTTGTAGATAATACCAGCCAATGACAGTACTAATAACAAGCTCAATGAATAAGTGGTACAATGTATCAAGTAATATAAACCTTTTGATCACATAAATAAGTGCCAAAAAAACAGAAATCATAATTTAATGTAATTACCCTACAAGTGTAATTGAATTACGATAAGGCATGACATCTAAGCTTATTGGTGAATGCACATTTGCAGTTACGTTCTTCAGTTATAAACTTTCAATTATATTATTATGAGCTAATATCCCTAGACCAATCAATTAACAGTTGTTATACAGCCTAAAATTCTTGAATTGCTACAATACAAAAGATATCATACAGAGATCATCCAGACCGTTCTAGTGTCAACTATTTAATGTGAATATTGTGACATTTACTGTACAATATCAGTTAGTGATGTTTTACACTAAGTATAACAGTAAATGATATGATAATGTTATAATAGATAATATAGATCAAAGTATCACTGATTCAACAAAGTGAAGAAACCACCTTTGTCAATTAATAAATATTATGGTTTTTCATTTTTTAACCAAAGATGTACGTATTTTGACTAATATTTAATTCAAAATTGTCACCAGAATCACAATAGGGTTTGGCACTATGGAAAAATCAACACTGTTTCCATGGATACAGGTTTGGGTACCCACTCTTTTATTTATTTGCGTCTTTTTTTTATTTTTAACATTTCTCAGTTATTATCAGTATTTGGCAGTATCCTGTACAATGACACCACCCGAAAACTAACAGAAGAACTGAATGTGAGACATTTATTGGTCTATCCCGCGGTTAATTCTGAGACAACTAAAGAATAATTCACCTTCAGATTCCTCTTCCTCGGGAATATCCTCCACAAGAATGGTGACTTCTGTAGGTTTTTTATCTTTCTCAGGTTCTGTATTTTCATCTTGAAGTGACTGCTGTTGTAGGGCTGTAGCAGTGAGTACTTGATTGTGACAATGTCCCTCTATGCTGTCGACTACAGTCAGCAACGCATCAAGAGATAGTAGATGGGTGGTATAAAGGCCCGCAACTGGAAATGCATTCTGAAATAAAGAACACAGAAAAATTTATTGAATTTCTAGATGCAGTACTGTTTCAGAATTCCTACAGTCTCAGATCATTCAAGTATTCATAGATTATCATTAATTTTAGATTGTATGCGATAACTCCAATGTTACAAAAAGAAACCAGTTCGTTCATTACAAAATACACTTACCAACTTAAGTTGACCTCTAACAAGTACTGTAAAATATGTTATTTTTGCTGGAATTAATTTTAGCTAAAAAGACATTTTGGCTGTTTTGTGTGAAGTTTATTGTCACATTTTTTTTGAAGAACTGCATGTCAAATATAGGAAAAAAGATATTTCACTGGATTTTATTTTTACCGATTTATTTCTTCAGATCAATAACAAAAATAAATTCTAAGTGAAAAATAAGTAACTTTACAGTAATACACAGGATGTAATGTGATGCAATTTGATGTGATGTGATATGATGTGATGCGATGCGATGCAATGTGATGGGATGCGACGCAATGTGATGCAATGTGATGTAATGTAATGTGATGTAAAGTAACGCAATGTAATACTTACTTTAGATAAAAGTTTTGTAAGATCTTCAAATAGGTTACTACAATAAACATCACAATCATAATTTAGATACAATTCAGTGACAAGAGAAGGTATCCTCCAAAGCTGAAATCAAGCAAACAATTAATGCATGGTTACTATAATAGCGGAGTTACTAAAAGTGATGAAAAGTAAAAACAAAAACAACAAGCAGCTTGTCGGCTAAGATAGCTCTGCTGTTAGCAATGCACATTTCAATTAAAGAACAGAAGATATCATTAGAAAATGAACAATATGTATAGTACATTGTATCAAAGCAACGGACCTTGCTGTTTTCAACAAGAATTCAAAAATATCACTTTTCACCAAAAATGACGAAAATAATCATCAAAATTGAAGATATCAGCACGAAATTAACAAGGTCCACATGTAATACCTATATATGTAATATAAAAGCAATCAGACTTGCGGTTTTTAACAAGAAGTCGAAAATATCACTTTTTACCAAAAATGACAAAAATATTCACCAAAATTAGAGAATTAAAGATATCATTACAAAATGAACAAATCTGAGACAGGTCCACTTGTAGTATCTATGTATGTAATATCAAAGCAATTGGACTTGTGGTTTTTAACAAGAAGTTGAAAATATCACTTTTTACCAAAAATGACAAAAATATTCACCAAAATTAGAGAATTAAAGATATCATTACAAAATGAACAAATCTAAGAGAGGTCTACCCAAGGTACATATACACCAAGTATCAAAGCATTCAGGCTTGTAGTTTTCAAGAAGAAGTCGAAAAAGTAAAACATTGACACGGACGACGACGGACAATCACTCATATGATAAGCTCTGCTCGACAAAGTCGACAGCAGAGCTAAAAAGACTACACCAATAGCATAGTGATTGCTGCAGTAGTACCAGTAAGTCTGTAGTTTAGATTTGAACAACCACTGGATTAGTGTGTGTCACAGACTCTAGTCTAGCAAAATCGAGGGAAGGTTGGATTATGAGAAACACACTTTTTTTTATATTTGTTCTCACTGGGAAGGTAAAAACAGGAAAGTATTACTCTTACCTGTACAATTGATTCCAGCGACATTTCTCTTTGTTCATATGGTATCCTAGGAGACTCAGATACGATAATATCCATCAATCGATGAAGATACATTTCTAGTTGAAATTTAAGGTGTTCCCTCATCGACTCAAAAAGCATGAAACAAACGCGTAACGACGCGGCAAACAGAGATAACCGCTCCGATTGTAACAACTGTAATAGAAAAATGGAATCAGGATAAGGTTTGACTCTGCACACTAATTTAAAAGAAAAACTTCTCATTGGTTAGCAGTTTACAATTGTGCTACTCATTAGCAAAAAAATTGGCAATATGGTGTGAACTCTAGACGGTGCAGCAGAACGGACCAGTCAGAGAAATTTTGCATCAATGCCAGAAATTTGACAAATTCGTTCTTAAAAAGAATTTTTTATATAAAAAAATAAAATTGCCACGGCTGGGTCAATCTACAGAATGCTGCCAACTGCTCTAACATAGAGAGAAAGCTTTCAAAAGAAACAAATTTGCAAAAAAATTAATGCAGATTTATTTTATTTTATGAAAGGTAATGGAATATGACACGGTGCTGAAACCAGCAAATGACATATTGTCTGTGAATGCACGAATCACATGTATATACACACAACAAAATAAAGAATTCAACTTACAAAGAATAAGTTTTTACTCATGTCATCTTTGACAAGACTCAGCAATGAATTGTAAGACCCAATATGGTCACAACCGGTCTCCAAGGCAACGGTTAATAAACTCAGACCCATATGTATCATGACATCAGTGTTGTGTCTGAAAAACAGAGATACCGGTACATAATATTTTATTTAACAAACAGCGCCACCTAGGGCCAATAAATAATCGAGTACATGAAGTAAACACCCCCCCACCCCAACACACACAATATATGTTTTTTATGTATTATTACACTGGACATCTACCTGTTACTGAAAATCATTTTTTTTACCGGTACAATATATATGGGAAGAGGATGCCCTTTAGCCAAAGGAACAATCTTATTAGAATTAGATTTTGTGAGAGATCTGGATCAAGATGCCATGAAGACAGTAACGTTTTGTCTGTCTATGAACAAGGTAAAAACTAAAGGTTGAGGTATTAGTTCTTTGCAGCTGTGGCGAGGTACATATGAAATGGAGGAACTTTACATACAAATAATTTTCATTAAAATAACTATGATTAGCCTATCAATAGCTTCTATTATATTGCATGGCAGTAGCATTTTAATTGATCGTGATCGTTGCACCATGCATGTGCAAGATATATGGGTCTCATATAAACAAAGATGGCGGCTTTGACTGTTGCACAGACCAACGAAAACAAAATGACACATTACTAAGTTTTAATTAGGTAATTGTTTTGGTGATTGGAAAGCATCAAAGAAGTCACCAGTGGTAATTAGTGCAAGTCGCGTCCAGGTCAAAACTCACTCATTTCATTGGACTGTGGGAAAATGTTAGCAACACATAATGTCGCACATGTGCAGCGCGATCACTGCCCTTTAAAGGCAGTGAAAAAAGCATAGACAGCAAACTATGAATTAGTTACTTTACAGATCAATAATTAAATATAAATATGTGAAACACCAACCTATCATGTGGGTTTATCAATGAAATAAGGAATCTAAAAAGTTCTCTAACACAGGGTAAACCATGTGGCGTTAAAGGCCCACTACCTACAGAGGAAAAAAACAAAAACTATTATTAATAATAATTTTCCCTATCAAATATTTGATGTTATATTGAATAGGGGTGTACTGTGTACTGTTTCTATACTTGGTGCAGGTGAAAAAACGCAGTATCCTTGACGCAACCCGAGAATTTTGACAGCAATCCCTCTACTGGAGCGTGTAAATGTGATGAGGTCCTGGAAGGTGATCTTAATAAAATAAAGAAACAAACATTGAAAAAGCACAGTCTCATGTAGGTATTACATGTATTCAATGTCAGTGTTCAGTAGATGTCTAATCAAAGGGTTTCATGCATCATCTGTGTGCCTACATTGAACAGTCATTGTATTCCAGAGAAACTATCATAGATACCAAGAAAGAACATATGGCCGCCAATTGGCCATTTTTTTTAAACCTTTTTTTTCAAACAAAAAAAAGGATCGTAACCCAGAATGCAAGATGCAATGGAATGATGCAAATTTTAAATGAAATCACCTTCATCTCAGGATGTTTCAATTTCAAAATTTAGCAAATCTGGTCACAATTGATTAAATAGTAAAGAAAATCAATGTGCACATATGCAAAGAATCATACATGGTCTTTGCATTAACTTTGAATGAGATTAATAAAAGCATGTCAGAAAAATGTTGATTACTAATTACTCGTCCCAAATTTATTGACTTCCGCTGAACGGGACTAATAATGTAAAAATATACAAATATTTCTTTTGAGCTTGAGGAATTGATAGAAAATTAGGGTTTATAATAAAACCATTTTCCTTTTTTAGTAGCAAGTGTTCTTTATCTAAACTTGAGGTGTTTCTATGATCAAAATAAGTACTTATTTTAACGATTCAGTAACAATGCAATTTTTGGTTTATATGTGCTTCCAATAACAATACGCTTCTAAGAACAAATAGGGTGAATAAATTGAGTAAGAATAAATTATTTACCATCTTTGACTACTTGTTGTGGAGTGAAACGAACACCTCTTGAACTGACGTATTCTAGATCTTGTACAGATGCACTGTCCGACTGCTCCGCCACCGATTCTAAATCTTCTGATTCAGCTCTCTCAGAATCCACTAAATCTGTCTCACTGCCAGCCTTCTGTAGATTGAATATATACCACAGTTAATACTTTAAAATTGCCCCCAAGCCCCCATAGTTGTAACACATTGATTCTTTTGTTTTTAAATATTTTCATGCCAGACAGTTATCAGTAAAAATGAATGTTGTTTTTGCATTGTGACTATAAAAACAAAAATGTGTCAGGGGAAAAAAAAATTCTGAATTGCCTACCTTCATCTCACTACTGTCTTCCGGTGGTCTTAATTCATTTTCATTTTCCACTATTTCAGATTTTACTTCCGACTCTGGAGAATACTCCTTAATATCCACGCCGCTATCAGCTCCAGGGGTTACGGGATTGGAGCTTTGTGGGGTTTCCGGTGACGTTGCCGCTGATCCCGAGGCAGTTGTAGATGATCCAACCGTTGTAGCAGTTGCAGTGGTAGGAGTTGAAGCAGACGTATACGTCACAGAAGCGGTTATATCTTTTTCTTTGTCCTCCGCAGGAGTGGTTGCTAAGCGTTCCTTCTTCTGCCGAACTTTTGGTGATTTCTTCGGTTTTTTGCTCCTTGAGGAATCTGGAATTCCACCTGCTCTCATTTTCAACTAGGAAACAGAATGATCAGTTTCAAAAAAGTTAGTGTATGACAAGAACACGTATACACGATATTTTAATACAGACCCAAACTAACTGCCTACTAACCCAGACTAATTTGCATACTGTATATAACTTTAGGCATGCAATTGACAAAAATCAGCGATAATGAAATCAAGTGAAACTACATTTCCCAATATTTCATTATTATGAAGGGAGAAAAATTACTCAAAATGATAAAATACTGATTTTAGAAAATTTAAATAATTTATCTATATTTACCAATACGACATAGCATCATATGTGTATTAAAATCTCTATAATTATATATACTATATTGAAATTAAATTGGTTCATTAAAAAAACATATTCTACAGTTTAACATCATATAGAAATTACAGCACCCCCTAAAGGCAACCAACAGAAAGTCTTCTTGCGTATTATGAACACGACGATTAAAGCATAATTGATTTGCACAAAATCAGAGTGTGCAAAAAACACTCGGGCATAGTTCAGCTCAAGAATATCTTTTACTCAAAATTCCCCCTTGAGGGATGGTAAAAAGTACACCTAATGTATTAATGTGTCACAATTTTGACACAATCCATTTTTCTCACCAGAGTGAGAATTTTTTGAGAATGTTGTTTTGGAACACAGAGAGAAACTGAAATTTATTTCCATGCAAATATTTATAGGACTACAGATGTGTAGTCTAATAAGTGTACCATTATGAATACCATATTGGTGCATAATAGTAGTGCTTGTGTAAATATTAGGGGTGTATCTATGGTAAATCACTAATTAATTATAAAACATACAAATGCAGCTGTTGCTTTATGTGTACTTGTATTGGAGATGTCCTTCTAATAGAGCAAATACAGTATATCCACAATATGAGACATTTGCCTCATGGTTTTGTCCCAGGTTTTTGTACTCTTATGCGACAAATTGAGAAAATACAAGTGACAATTAATAAGTGTAGAATAAAATTCAACCATAATAAACATTTGAGTACACTGTCTCCACTATAAGAAGAACAAAATGCTTCATTTCTGTCTGTAGTTCCACATAGATGGGTAATTGTCTCATATTTCTAAACTGAAGGAACAATTCCACACCACAGATTTAATTCTATGTGAGAACATCGCAGCATGTATCGCACTGATAAATTTTTTCAGACTCTTATATTTTTCAAAACCAACATAATCAGGGCTACCTGCTCACTCGCTATGCGCTGAAGACTAAACTATTTGATGAATGGCTAAATGAAAATAAATTTGGCAAAACCTTTGCT